TTTATATATATAGATATATATACATACATACATATATATGCTAAGTGTCCAGTTGTATGTTCAACCAATCAAAGCATAATATGCTAATGATATGCTAAATCCACTCAACTGCTCACTATGATGTACATTGACCACCAGGGGGTAGACACTCCAACCAGTAGGTTAGCTTGCTGCTGGGGTCTGGCTGAATGGGACTGAGCAAGATGTGCCAGTCAGACATGCCCTGGAGCCCTCCTACAGTCCTTCTCTAGTTGGCTAACCTCTCTTGTTCTTTCCCAGCCCCAATTGTGCACCACTGAGGTCCCTTGGCCTGGCCTGTACCCTCTCACAATCCGGGACCCCTCAGTGGATAGCAGAGGGCTGGTTTCAGCCTGATCCCACAGGTCAGGCCAAGGGACCCCACTGGTGCATGAATTTGTGCACTAGTCCTCTAATATACTATTATAGAAAGTCTCTAGTATATTAGAGGCAGGGTGCACAAATTTGTGCAAGGGTGGGGTCTGGCCAACCTGGCCCCAATTGGGGCGGATTGGGGCCGGGCCTGTCAGGAGAAGAAGATGGCGGGAGGTTGGCCAGCTGGCCCGCCCCAATTGGGGCCTGATCAGGGCTGAGCCAGCTGTGGGGAGGAGCTTCAGGCAATTGACCAGCAGGACCCTCACCCAATTGGGATGATAGGGGCTGTGGGCAGTGAAGCTGGCTGGCCCGGCCCCCAAATGGGTGGGAGGAGCCAATTGGGGGCCAGTGGCCTAGGGGAGGAGGAGCCATGGGTAGTTGGCTGGCTAACCCAGCCCCTGATCAGAGTGAGGGGCGGGGCTGATCTGGAATGGGGCCAGGTGGGGAGGAGGTGCCACAGGAGGTTGGCCTGCTGGTCCTGTCCTCCTCCCTGATCGGGCCATTTTGCTGGCCGCAGTGGGCATCACAGTAAGCAGTCATTCCAGTCTTCATGGTGTTCTGGTTGCTGGCTTTTTCTCTCTATATAGATAGTTCAGTTGTATTTATCTGAAATTGAAGTCAAAACAGAACCTTCCCTTTTTCTATTTGGCACCCTCAGTGTTCTGCCCTTAATCAGTATCTCTTGATTTTTCTCTATCTCTGATTTTTGTTACTACTCTCAACACCCCCTCTTTCTTGATAAGGTTGAATAATCCTGGCAATGAATTGGAAAACAATCACGATTCCTGGGATTAAGGAAAGCAGCTATATCCTAGTTCAGAACCATGGACAGAAGCCAAAAACCCTTTCTTTATGTAGGCTCAATGAATTTAGTTCTTCTTAGGTGACTAGAGAAGAAAGGGAAGAAAGATCAATATCTCTTCTTTCACACTATCTTTATTTCCCTTATCCCACCACTGTTTTATAAACTCTCCTCAATTCTGGTGCAGACAAAGCTAGTACCTTGAGACTACAAAGAAAAAAAAATACATAAAATGGCCTTGAAATGCTATTCATCATACAACCAATACAACTATTATTACGAATGACTAGGGAAGGGTGAACTTGTATCATATGCACAAGGAGTATTAGTTTTATTAATAAAGTGGTCCATATTTGGAGAAGGCACTTGTGTGACTTCATTTACTATTAGTTATTAAAGTAATTTCATCCAATTGACTTACCAAATTCTGGGTAGCCATGGGCATGCATCACTCAGATATCCCTCAGAGAAAATCTCCTCAGAGAAGTGTAGCCAGATGACAGCCTTCTTCTACAGAATACACTGCAGCATGAACCCAAGACCACATTCCTCAAGCTGCTCCTGACCAATGGTTGAGCATGTGGAAGTAATAGAAATGGCCACTTATGCTCATTGTGGGACTCCTCTAACATGCCATCTTCCTCTGGGACTCCTCAGGTTTGACTGACTCTTATAACCTCATTTAAGAGTTTTCATCCCCAATCCTTCCTTCCTCTCTTCCCTTTTTCCTCTCCCAGATGTCAGACCCATGCCATGTTACAAAGACCCTTCTCTCTTGCTCTTGCTGTCTCTCTACTTCATCTCTTGGATGTTTCTTCCAAAAAACACCTTGTACTTCTCTAACACTTTTGTGGTATGTGCTTCTAGTATCACCTGTAGCTTACACATTTAACAAAAGTTACCAAGCATCTATACAACTACTAGAGGATGTAAAACATTAAATTTAATAATTTCACTGAAACATGCATCCATCCAGTCTTCTCTCTCTTTCACTTTCCTGTTTAGCTTTCCTCTCTACATTCCTTTTCTAGAACTTGTCTAAATTTATTGTGATCGATGGGAAAATTTTGGCAGAATAAATTTTGGCATGATTTTTTTCCAGCAACATTTATAAGAAATGTACTAAGAAATCAGCAGAAACCAGAGAACAGCAAGGTTAGCTCCACTATCCTGTTTCAAAGAGTATAGACTATTTTTCCATTGACACTTGAGAAAGGGGAGGGAATATTGAATGTGGAATGGCTCTGAACTGATCAGGAATGTTTAAGGTAAAATAGCGAATTATAAAATAGTATTGTTAAGAGGAAGAATTTACTCCCTATTTTGAAAGTTTGCTCCAGTCTTAAGATTCCCAGGACTATAGACGTTATATATTTAGAAGAATTGTAATAATATTTCATTTTATTAAAAATAATTTAAAAATATGTTTGGGGAATTAAAACAAGAAGCACATTTTTTTTGAAAGAGGTTGTGACTTTACTTAAGGGAGGGATATCTTCAAGATTCTTCAAGGAGAAATACATATTCAGATAATAGCAAATTGTCCTGATGACCCCTCTCCCATAGCATCAGAATTTAAAACTCCCTTAGAAAGTCCCCGAAATGGGCAGTCTCTGAAGAAAACCATGTGCAAAGGATCTATTCAAAATGCAAAGATGACCTATTTTAGCTAGGCATTTACACAGCTTGCACTTAAAAACATGAATCTAGACCAACTCTGCTGCTCTGACAATAATAAAGTCCATATTGAGACAGGAGTTAGGAAAGCAAATTGTTATGAAATGAAGGATGCCATTTGCAGGAACTGTAAGACCAGAAACTCTATTAGCTTCTAAGATCTTGACATACAACATTTTTTATAAGTAATTTGAAATTCAACTTAATTATTTTCTATGGTAACCTGTCATTCATTTTGTCAAGTTATTATTGGAGAGACAGTTTGTGTGGATAGGGACAAAAGAGTAATCCATTTTTTACTTGAATTTTCTATAGATAATTTATGATAAGCTTTTATGTAAGCTGGTTTTCTTAAATTTAAATCATTGTGAGATCACAATCAGACTGTTTATAAATTCTTCACATATATAAGGACATAGAAAGGTTTAAGGCATAATAACATCTTAATTACTTTTACTTGAAAAAAAATGGTATATGTTATTTTCCAGGAGCTTTAAACTTGAAACTTTATATGTTCATTTAAGTAGATATACTTAACAGAATAGTTATTTTTGAAGAATGAAAGTATTATAAATATAACTGTATTTATTTGTCTAAAAATTCTCTAAAACATGCATCTAAATCTTGTTTCTATTTATATTGAATACAAATGTGTTCAAATGTCAACTTTAATAAAACAACTAATCTGTCTGCCTATACTATGAATAAACCTTGGTCCACTCATAACAAATTAACAATTTGTTATATGTTTGCTGCAGTATCATTTACAATAATAACATCTATAAATATTCTTAAAATCAATTAATAGAAAAATTAACAAATAAAAATTACATAAATATTTTAAAATATTTGCATCACTTAGAAATAAGGAAGTGGAAAGTTTTCCAAGACATGCTGTTAGATGGAAAAATAAAAGGAAAGGGAAAAGGATACCATGAGCTGCAGATACAATGTAGCACAGTGAGTAAGCTCTGGAACTGGACTAGCTGTGTGTGACTATTGATTTCGTCACTGGCTGTATGAAGGGTAAGTTTGTTTTTTAAAACTATTTTATGCATAGGTTCTCTCATTTGTAAAGTGGAAGTCAAAATAACACTTACCTCATATGGCCATTGTAAATATCAAACATGTCATTATACATAAAACAATTGTAAAAGTGTCTACTACAAAGTCAACACCAAACTAGTGTTTGTTTATTTATACACAAAATGGCCTAATACAGTGTTGCCCAAAGTGTGGTACGCATAGTCCAGGAATATGGGAAGAGTTTGGTGGAGGTACACATTGCACTGGAGTTTGGTGGGGATATGCACTGCACCGTGCTTAGCTGAGCCTAATTCTACATTCTCATGAGTACGAGGGGTACTCAGCATTATGAAAATTATAGAAGGGGTACACATATGTCAAAAGTTTGGGAAACACTGGTCTAATATATGCTAAATATACATCAATACACACTATAAAACAACTTTCTTCGAACTTAGATTTGTATGAAGGCACACAGCAAAGGTATAAGAACATAAATGTCAAACTGATACCAAAGTATAATTAGGAGTATTAAAGGCAATCTTTTTTTCTGTTTGAGTATCTTATAGAATATAATTCATACATTATTTTGTGATTAATTTTAAATACTTTTTATCCATCCATTAAAAGCCACTATAAAATGATAGTGGAGATTACATTCATTAACTCATTTACACAGAAAAATATTTACAGACATATCATTAAGTACAAATAAGCAGATCAAACTTAGTTTTAACTGAATGAATATGAACACATTTAGTAAAATTATGTGTTTGTATTTGTGTATGGAATGTTAATGTTAATACCTAATCTGGTTAGGTGGCTTAGATATAGAGTCTTTGTATATAGATACATACATACATAATTATATATATATATATATATATATATACACACACACACACACACACACATACATACATACATACATACATACACTCTAGGAGCTACTTTATTGTGAAAAAAAAAAAAGCAACAGTGAGGCTATCTAATTATACCATCATACAACAACCTGCATTCAAAATACATATTAATATGTTGAGAACACAGCCAAGTACTGCTGATGAAAGGAATACTTTAAAAAGGTTATGAATGTACTTACCCACCAAATGCCTGGAGCGCAGAGAATTTGGAAGCATCCAAATCATTGCCGCCTACTATTCGAGCCTTAAATAAAACATGACGGGGGGAAAAAACAAAAGAAAAGAAAACAGACTTTTAGCATACAGTAACTGCATAGAGGAGAATTTGGGACATGGGTCAACTGCACTAGACACATAACACCTGGTATGACAAATGCTAAGCAGGGTCAGCTCCAAGTCAAAGCTACATGTTTTTGTGAGTGCAGGATTTGAAATGAGCTGTCAGCATTTAAACAAAGGCACTGGCAGAGTCCAGGAAAGGATATCACGTTACAAATACTGTTTGCCCTTAAAACTCAGTATATGCAGTGAAGATCATGGGTCAGTCCAGGAGATCATGATTAGCCAGACTTAGGAACAGATGCTGAGTTTGACCGTAGCAGACCCCTAGGTTGGCAAGTGTAAGCTAAAGAAGCGCAGCTGGCAAGGTGTAACCTCTTCAGAAATGCAACATATTGGGGGCACACTTAAAGGACAACCAAAGGATGGAAAGCTGTGATAACATGCACATTTCACAACTAAAACAGAGGAACCAAAACAGGTCTAATATGTCACAAACAAACATGTACAAAAGACAAGATCCCTCAGCAGGGAAGAAAAATGCATGATTTAAAACCTTTTCATCCACAGAACTGCTATCTGAAAGAGAATCAGGAAAAGAAGGGATAAATGTTAGATGGAGTACTTTTCAAGAAATCATTTAAACATGCACACGAACAAAGTGTTACTATGTTACATTATTTAAAATCATAAATGAACAGAATTTCAAGGCTGAACTCCAAGGGAAGATGGCTGTTAGATCCTCATAATTTGAAAGATTTGAAAAATGTGCCAGAATGCTTGAAAAGTATCACAGGGTGATCACGGGATTTAATGAAAGACAATGTGTCATACAAAGAAAGGAACAGTTGAAGAATCAGAAGTCCCAGGCTCCAGCTGAGGTTCTGCCACTGACCAAGCACACTGGGCAAACCACCAAATTCTCTCTAGAGTCCATAGCTAGCTTTAAAAGGGCCCCTGATACTGTTCCTATGTGCTCCCAAACTTTGTTGAGAGGGTCAACTGAGATCAATATAGTATTCAAAAATAAACCTCACATGACTAGATTAATTGGGGATATTTTACTAAGGGGTTATTTATGTATGGGTTCTCATATCAGAAATCTAAGAGCTACAAGAGTAATTAAATACATTACATTTTTGTAAATAAGAAAATTGATGTCAATAGGGGGTAAGTGATTTGATTAAGATCACAAGGCTAGTTAAGGGCAGAAGTCGGACACAAATCCAAAACTTCTGATCCCCCATATGCTGCCCTTCCCATCCAATGTTTCAGTGTGTTGACCAGAACAGAGAGGGTTGGCTGGTCCACACTTCTCCAGTGAAATTTTAGATAAACAACAAGGTCAACATTTTTCAATTTCAACCACTCAAGGGCCCAAGTAGAGAACTATACACTAATAAATATTTTTTAGAACTCAAGTCTAAATCTTCCAGGCTCATAATGGCATGATCCAATTCCACCTTATAGAGTATTATTGATCTTAAACTTATTAATTCAGCTTTGCTTATTATCATAAAGCTGAAGCTACTTCTCTATGAATACAAGTCAACAGGGAGCTGGAGCTAGAGTGATGTTGGGTACATGTAGTCCAAACCCCTCACTTTTTTAGATGAACTAAAGAGAGATAAAGGTTTTCCCAAGGTCACATAGCTCAGTGATGACTTTTATTGATGAAAATATGAAATCTATTTGTTTTTTTCAATCATTAAGTATAGATTACTGTAACTAAATATTTTTGTTCAATTTTTAGAGATTTTACAATATCTCAGGGTTATACCTTTGAAGATAAAACAAGGTAAGCACAATATAAAATAATAATAGACCACTCTTATTTATGGCCATAAGTATTTTAAAATACTAAATAAAATATCAAAAATAAAAGTAATCATTATTTCTGAAAAACAATTATCATACCATATATATTTTATTCTAAACATGATATAAAATCATGGAATAACTAATGTAATAGGACATATCAACTGGTCAGAAAATACCTATCTGCATTTCAGTAGATCCCAAAAAGTTATGTAATAAAATTTCACAACCTTGTGACTTTTTAAAAATATAATTGGAATGAGTTTTCCTTAAGTTTAATACATTAAAAAAATAAAAGTCATTAGAGTTATCAACTTAAGTGTGAAATATTAGGGCATTCCTGTTATTATTTAAGAAATGCCTACTATAATTAGTTTAACTGATTTTTAGAAATTCTGACCAACATATTAAAACAATAAATAGAAAAAAAATATGTAAGTATTAAAAGACAGGATACAATGTTGTTATTTTCAGGAATTACAATTTTAAACCCAGAAAATAAACAAACAAAACCCTGGTCACCTATTAGGGTTAGTAAAATAGTTATGAAAGTGAACATAGATAACCAATACATAAATAAAATAAAACAATAATAGTATGTTATTTCCCATATACTTAGCAATTAGCTTGAAAAAACAATGACATGAGATATGATTTCAAATATCCAAATCTTGACATCTCCCACTGAAAACTGATTTTGATTCCCAATAACTGGTTTCTATATCAACCATCTCACTAAAATAAAAATAATTCTAACAAAGTCAACAATTATTTTTCAGCATCTAACTCTAATCATGCATTCCAGTACTTTCATTCAATGATTACTTCAATGTTTTATTCATTCACTGAACACATTTTTATTATCAACCAACCCTTTTTGTTCATTTCCACTCTTTTCTTGTCTACCTGCAAAATTTTCTCCCTTGAAACCTTTCTAAAATACAGGCACAATCACATTATCTTTCCTTTTAAAACCCACCAATGTTATCCAATGCCCACATGAGAGAGTATCAGATGTGTGTATACCGCTGGCTGATGGCTCTTCAGACCTCATTTATAACCTGCCTATACTTTTGTCCCAGTTATATTCTTGCCCTTTCATCTTTATGCCATGCTCTTTGATAACTGTGTGCCTTTGCATTTTCAGTTTCCTTTCCTAAAACAAATGCCCCCCCTTTTCATCTAGCTAATTGCTAGTCAGCCTCCAAAACATAGTTGAAGCATAATCCCTCTGTACACTATGCACTCTTCCTCTTGGTTAATTCTTACCCTTTGCCGGTTTTCTTATCTGCAATCCTCCTAGATACAAGCTCTTCAATTATATTAATCACCTTTTCTTAATTTCTACTACATTTCTGAAATAGAGCCGACCAATAAATGTTTGCTGAATACTTGTATGTTTTAAACTTAAAGGTAAAAGAGTAATACCAAAAATAGTTTGATAAATTTGTTATGTTTCTTCATTACTTTCATATATAAAAACAATAAAAAATAAAAAACATATATTTGCTAATATGTTTAGCATTTAAAAAACATACATATCTATAAAAATGACAATACTCCAATAAACAGATGTTCAGGAATGTGACTAAATAATTCATAAAATAGAAGGCAACAAGAGTTAATAAGAATAAAAAATTATCCAATTTATAAAATTTCTAGTTATGATTATAAAATTAACAGACTTGAATAATGCTATTTTATGATGTTACAAATAATTCCCAAGTCTGTTATTAGTGTCATGAACGAGACATTGTAATGCATGGTTGATGACAAAGAAATGATGATAAAATAGTCATGAACTTTTGGTAATGTCTAGTGATTGTTTTGATGAGGAAATTCCTGTTTTGGAAGTTGATGCTAAAGAAATTATTTTTGTTATAGACTGAATTTAGGTATCCCCTAAAATTTATATGTTGAAGGCCTAACCCCTTGCACCTCAGAATGTGGCTTAGTTAAGATGAGATCTTACTGGAGTAGTCCGGTCCCCAATCCAATATGACAGGTGTCCTTATAAAATGGAGAAATTTGGAGACAAATGTAAACACAGAAAAATATTAGGTAAAGATTGGAATTATGCTGCCACAAACCAAGGAACTATCTACCAAAAGTTCTGAGAAAGCCCTGTGCAGATCCTTCCCTAAAATGTTCAGAGGGAACATTTCTCTGTCAATTTGTCTTGATCTCAGACAACTAGGCTCCAGAACTGAGAGACAATACATTTCTGTTATTCTAAGTCACTCAATTTATGGTACCTTGTTACATCATCACTAGAAAACTAATATAATTTTAAATACTGAAAATAAATGTATATGTAAAGATCTGCATTTTTCCATCATTTACAATAAAACATTGGAAAAAGATATATGTGAGCAGGTATAAACATATGGGTTTAAAATTATGCTCTGTGGTCTTGATGTAATAATTTGCAACTATTAAAATAAATATATTTAAAAGACTATCATCAAAATGTTAAAAATATTTATGGTGTATATAACTCTATTATACAAGATACATGTATGTACCCAATACACACACATGATGGCTTTATTCCCTAATGAATTGCCTTTTATTCTACATTAGTTGTTTTGCTTAGTCAAATTCTGGCTAAACCTCTGAAATGACATACAGGATACTTCCTATAATGCTGCTCCCAATGCTCCTTGTCTTAGAAGTCATATCATCTCCCAAGTTCATTTTGAAGTTCAATTACTTAATATTATTACCATAGGACCATAGTATCTCTATCTACTTTATAGTGAAACCACCTCTTAAATTTTTTAAACTTAGAAAATATTTAGGAGGTGAACATCACTATTCAACCATGCTGCATGAGAACCTACAAAGCTAAATCTCTAACCTTATAGAATTGCACACCATATACATGCATCTCCTGTGTATTAAACCTATCACAGGTTCTTGTGTTTATATCTCTGAGAAATAAATTTAAATATAATTTAAGATAACATGACATCCTTAGCTCTCAGTTTACCTCCATATATAAGCAAAATAAGGAAGTTTGAGCAGATTATATCTAAAGATCCTTGCTCTAAATACTATGATTTTGTATATATAATGAATTTCAGGATAACAAGAAATATTTGCTAATTACCACCAAAAGTAAATGTCTTAAAGTAATACCTAATGCCTAAATTTGAGATATTTCACAATTTTCTAAGATATAAGTAAAAATTGTGTTCCTTCTCTTGTGTTTTTTTTCCATTATGTAACAATTTTTGAAGGAAATTGGGATGGAAGAGATCTTGACATTTGTAAAGATTGATTTCTATACTCGAGTATTTTAGCAATTTTTCTTAAACTTCTTTGCTCTAAAGTCCTTCAATGATAATATAAATCTTACACTGGGGATAATATTGTTCACTAGATGCTTTGGAGATGGGTTTGACTTATTTACCACTATATCAGAATACATGTGACTCTTAAAGTCTGTACAGTATGCCTGAAAGTCATGAGATGGGGGCTGCAAACAGTTCAGAGGAAAGCCTATAATGTAATCAGAGGGTTGTTGAGTTGCAATTAACCTTTATTTATTTATTTTTTAATGTTCAATTTTTTTCTTTATTGATTAAGGTATTACATAAGTATCCTTATTCTCCTATTGCCCCCCCAGTACCTCTTCCTGATTATGCCCTCACCCCCCTAGTTTCTGTGTCCATTGGTTATGCTTATATGTATGCATATAAGTCCTTTGGTTGATCTCTTCCCTTTACTCCTCCCTCCCCTGCCTTCCCTCTGAGGTT